GGCCGCGAGACGGGGGGTACCAAATAGTAACGAAAGGCCTCTGCTTCGCTTCCAGCCGGGGCTCTCCGGGGCCAGGGGAAGGAGGACCCCAAAGCAGAAGAGGACGCAAAAGGCAAGGAAGAAAGTTTCTCCATGGACAGCGATCTAGACTATAGCTCGGACGACAACATCCCCGGCCAGGCGGCTCACAAGGAAGAGGACTCTAGCAACGCGCTGGAGGAAAACCCCCAAAACCCCCCCAATTCCACCAACACCACATCCACGGGCAAAAACCGGCGGAGGCGAACAGCCTTCACCAGCGAGCAGCTGCTGGAGCTGGAGAAGGAGTTTCACTGCAAAAAGTACCTGTCCCTGACGGAGAGGTCCCAGATTGCTCATGCCCTCAAACTCAGCGAGGTGCAGGTGAAAATCTGGTTCCAGAACAGACGGGCTAAATGGAAACGGGTCAAGGCGGGCAACGCCAACTCCAAGACAGGGGAGCCCTCCCGAAACCCTAAGATCGTGGTACCCATCCCGGTGCACGTCAGCAGGTTTGCGATCAGGAGTCAGCATCAGCAGCTGGAGCAAGCCCGACCCTGATCTCTCCCAATGCTCAGAACCACAAGTTTTTGAGGGAAAAGTTTCTAAATCGGGGTTTGAAAGCAACTGACCCGAAAAAAAAAAAGAGAAGCAAAAAAACCCTAAAGCAAACAACAGCCAACAAGAAAAGAATCCCACGCAAACACACGGCAAATCCCTGCCACGAGCGAACTTCAAAGCGAAACTTTCCTCTTACCAATTCAAGCGAGAGTCTGCGAAGGCAAGAGGCTTGGAAACTGTTTTGGTTCGGAGCAGGAATATCAAACCCTGGAAGAGACACACAGATATTTATTATTACGCTGCCCCCACTTTGTACATACTCGTGCTGTCTTGGCGGCGATGGGGACCACAGATGCGGTATGGTGTCGGCGCCGGATCCAGCAGCGATTTGCCCATGCCCCCCCCCCATCGGCAGAGACATCCCCAGCGAAACCCGCAGCGCGCCTTTAGCCATCTTTTGGGTTTTGTTTCTTATCGGGGGCAAAAGGTAAAAAGACGAGAGAACAAAAACGAAAGAAAACTAAGAGTTTCATTTCATGCCTTTTTTATTGTTTGATTTTATTTCCCATGGCTGAGTGGCAGGCACTGGGGGACGATTTTTTAAATATATTTTTTGCCTGGCTTTCTGTCGATTTGGTTTGCCTATTCTTCCAAGCCATGTTGGGGGGGGGGGGGGAAAGCACGATCTTCTCTATTGTGTTTAATTTATTTCAATGTAGCTTATTTCCTTATAAGTTATGAAATTTAAAAGCAAACTAAGTCTTGTGAATAAAAACCGACAAAGAAACAAAAAAGAGAGAGAGAAAAAAAAAAAAAAGCCCTCCATCCCCTGGCTGTTCTGTCCAGAATTTGGCGTTGAGCTGATTTTCCTTCCCCCTCCTGTGCTGCCGGAGCGGAGCGATGCTGCTCTCGCCTTTTTAGCGAAGCCACATTTATTGTCGGGGAGGGGGGAGACGGGCAAAAACCTTTTTTTT